GGGTGAATGGCTGGCAGTGGGGGGTCAGAGAGGGCAGAGTGCCATGCAGGGCAGGGTGCCTAGTTACCACTTGCCCCATGTGTGGCTGCCTCCTCCCTCTCAACAGCCAGCAGTACCAGTTCTACATGAGTCCCTTCCTCTCAGCAGCCACCTGAGGCTAGTCAAAAAAGACTTCCCAGAGTGCACCAGGTCAAGACAGAGACCCCAGACTCCTCCCCCTCCCCTCCCAATCCCACTACAGTGGTTAGGAATCCAAAGCCTCTCAGCTTTCTCTCTGGACCAGGGTGTCCTTCACCTTGAGGCCTTTCTGCTTTTTCAGTGGGCGAGTGTTCTGGTTCCCTAGTGCCACACTGACAGAAATATACCACAAATGGGATGGCTTGAACAAACAGGAGTTTATTCTCTTACAGTTCAGGAAGCTAGAAGTACATGTTCAAAGTGCCAGGCCCTAGAGACTGAGTGAAAGCCCTTCAACCTTGGGCTTCAGCTCTGCCTCTTGCTCCCGGCCCACTGAAGCTGGAGGCATCTCTTCACTCAGGCAACTACTGGCTGCTGAGGCTGACAAACCCAAGGTCAACAAATAAAATGGCATAGTCCCGATGTTACCAAATCACACAGCAGGCCATTAATTCAAGTCCATTGAAAGTCCCAAGGTCAGCAGAGCATGGCAGGCTACTGGACAACAGGGCTACATGCAGGGTCCAAGCATGCCATAAGCTAGAGACCATTCCCAAAGCTGTTTCTTATATACGGGAAGCAGACCACATACTCAAAGGCAGTTACTCAGCTGCACACAGTAGATTGCACTATGGAGTTGATTACCAGTCTCATCACGGGAAAAACTACATCCAGCTGCCCAGCCACTCAACCAGGTCCAGCCAAGTTGACACACAAACTTAACCCCTACAGCAAGGCATCCCCCTTGCATTTTGGCATGGTGGTGGGAGCTGAGCTGCACACAGGGAGGATGGGGGTGGGGTGGGGACAAGGGACAGGAATGTTGAGAAGGCTGAGCCCTGCCCTCCATCCTCTGATGCTTATCCAGAGAAAACACAACAACCTCAGAGAGAGTGTATGGGCTCCAGACCAAAGGCCCGTGGTTCATTATATGCAGTCCCACTGCCCCGGCTTTTAAGAAAAAAAGCAGCACAACGTTTAAAAAAAAAAAAAAAACTAGCTCCTTGAGAGGACATAGTTGGGACAGAAACTATATATTGATGCCCACCCACTGCCATCGAGTCAATTCCAACTCATAGAGACCCCCATTGGGTTTCTGAGGTGGTACATCTCTATGGAAGTAGATTGCCTTCCTTCTGCAGAGTGGCTGGTGGGTTTGAACCACCAGCCTTCTGGTTAGCAGTCAGGTGCCTTAGGCCCTGAGCCACCAGAGCTCCTTACATATTGGTGCCAGTTCTGCCCAATCTCCTTGTCAACATGTGCAGGTTGTGCAACGGCACCCGAACCATAATCTTAAATCCCTGCAAAGATCTATCTCTATTCAGTTCCTTTTACTAGTAAATAACAATAGCAACCACAGAGATCCTGGCTCCATTTCTAGACCATGCACTGTACGCCTCGCACTGCTTCTATTTCTAGTTCCTTTCACAACCTAGCCTGAGAGGTATCACTCAGTGCAGTCTGCAGATGAGGAAACTGAGGTTAGTGAGGTTAGGTAACTTGACCAAGGTCACATATTTAGAAAGTGGTAGAACTTTTCACATAATACTAAGTTGGGGAAATAATCATTTGTAGAAAGATTTTCAACAAGAGTTACAAACACAGGCTTCCAGTTAACCCTCAGATACCCAGAAGAGTCAGTTCCCGAGAACCTCCCTACATACATGCATACGTGTACTTAAGCATTCTGATTTTTCTTGAAAAACAGACCAAACTGTGTGTGTGGCAGGGGGTGGGAGGAGGATGTGCACAGAAACCAACAAGCATATTCTCTGAATATACCATGTGCTTGGAGATCCCCAGGTAAAAGCAGCAAAACATACCTTGTTCAAAGCAACTGGCCTGTGATAGGGTATGAAGCACTCACCACCATTCGGGACACAAACATCCTTTTGGGTTCCTCCCAATGCCCCTCCTCTCACAAGTAGCTGGTACAATGTTGACCTGCTGCCTCCCTCCACTCACTACAGCACTGAAGGAAAAACAGGAGACTGGCTTGTTGGTCAATTTTTGACCAATAGCAACCATTGTGACAGTGTAGAACTGTGCCCATAGGGTTGCCTAGGCTGTAATCTTTAAAAAAAATATTGTGATTTGGGTGAAAGTTTACAGAGCAAATTCGTTTTCCATACAGCAGTTCATACCCATTTTGCCTCATGATATTGACCACAATTCTCCACAATGTAACAGCTCTCCTCCCATTTCCTCCCTGTAGTTACCTCTTCCCTGAGTCCTTCCCTCCCATGCATTCCCACCCTGCCCCCTGCAGCCTTCTCCCTGTGCAAACACTGCCCTTGTTTTCCCACGATTGATCCATTGACTGATTGCTCCAAGTAATATTTATATCTGATGTAAATGTTCAGCTTATATACCTATCTATTATTTGGCTAGGGACTCCTCAGAAGGAAGACTGGACAATCTACTTCCATAGCAATACTGCCTCGGAAACCCAAGGAGGGGTCGCTGTATTTTTTTTTAAACGATGTGCTGCTTTTTTTCTTAAAAGCTGGGGCAGTGGGACTTCATGGCAGCGAGTTTATTATTTGGCTGGAAGCCACAGAAGGGAGTTCAGTTCCAGGCCTGAAGGGTAGCTAGGGGCCATAGTCTCAGGGGTCTCACCAGGCTCTATCAGACCAACAAACCTGGTCTTTTTTTTCTTTTTATGATTTTGAGTTTTGTTCCACATCGTTCTTCCAGACTGTAATCTTTACTGAAACAGATCACCAGGTATATCTCCCGCAGAGCCACTGGGTGGATCCACCTTCCAGTCAGCCACCAAGCACTTAACCATTGTGCCACCAGGGCTCCCTCAGGGACTGGCATGCCTACGATGTTGCTCAGCTACCAATTTGCCGTGTGCACCCTCTCTGGACCTTACTTTTCCCATCTGTAAAATCTGGGGTCAGCAAACTTTTTCCCTAAAGGGCCAGAGAGTAAGCAAATATTTCAGACTAAGGTCTCTGTCACATATTCTTCTCTGCTTTTTCTCAGCCCTTTAAGAGTGTAAAAGAGAAAAAGGATAAACCCGCAGGCCATACATGCCAAAGCCTCTGTAAATAATAATAATAAATGTGAGGCCCTAGTCCATCCAGAAGGTCACCAGACTCAAATCCCTCTGAGGCCTGGCAGAGAAAAAGACAATGACAAATGGCCTCAGAGTAAGGAAGGGAATAGACAAGACTGTGGGAACTGGACAGTAGATATCCCTTATTCAAAGGGTAGCTGTTACTGAGCTCCAGCTAGGGACTGCCACATGGGAACACGGGCCTGGCGGGGCAGATTCAACTGTGCAAGAATTTGACACAGTACTTCCCATTTTTAAATTGTTGACAATCAGATTTTTTAAAAGACACACTGTTGGGCGTGTCAAGATAATACAGTTGAGGGCTATATTTGCTTGAGTCCTCCTGCCAGCCCCTTCCCGAAATAAAAGGAAATTGCATGGATTTAGTTTATGACCCATGACTACTGCCCTTTAAGAGGCTCTCCCTCCAGATGGTATGGGACCTTGGGGATACCAAGCTAGAGTATTCCTGGGAAGCCATCCCCAGAGGACTGAAGTCTATCAGAACTGGAGCTTTCTCTCCTCCCTTCACAAGGTCTCCTGGGCTATGGGGCAGTCCCTGCCTGTGGCTGGTCAGACAGTCTGGTATTCCTAGCCATCCCTTACCTCCCCACTTCCTTTTCATGGGGTTAGAGTTAATGTGAAAGCCTGACTGTTAAACAAAGAGGAAGGTTACTGAAGATGTTCTCCCGAGGAGGTGAATCAAGACAGTTCCTGGGGGAAAGTGCACATGTGTGTGTGGGGGGGGGGGGTTCCAAGAGGGAGTTCAGTGATGCCCTGAGCACCAACCCTTCTGAGCCAGGTCTGGGCCAGCCTCTGAAACCTCTCAGTTACAGCCCATGTCTGGGAAGCAGGCCAGAAACACTACTCAGAATGTACCAGAATAAGGAGAACCACTTCTCCTCCTCATCCTATTTCCCAGTCCTTATTCAAGTCCAGAAAACGCTCCCAGCTTTCTCTCTGGGATTGACGCTCTCCCCACTGAACCAAAAACCAAAGGGAAAACTAGACCTGTTGCCATGGAGTGGATTCCAACTTATGGAGACCCCACCTGCTTCAGAGGGGAACTGTACTCCACAAGGTTTTCTTGGCTGTAATCTTACAGAAGCAGATTTCCAGGCCTTTCTTATGCTACCTCTTGGTTAGTAGCCGAGAGCAAACAATTTGTAGCACCCAGGGATCTCTTACTACACCAAACTACTTGTCGTGATACTGCAATACTTCCATATCACCCTAGTCACTTTGGTATCCCCACTACTACTACCTCAGGGTTCCCCATAATATGGCAACTAAAGCAGATAAGGCCTGGAAACTCTGTTCTGATAGATCAGTGGCCTTGCTGCCCTAGGCCTGCTTGCTCTGGCCCCTAGTACTCCCCTGTACATCCCGGGGGATTGCAGCCATCTGTATGTTTTCCTCACACACTCAGCTGACCCTGTATGCCTCTGACCTTGGTGTGTGTCCTCGCGTGTGGCATGCACCAGCCAGACTCTGCATGCAACGCTGTGCCAAAGCCGCACTGCTGTCTGTGGTCCTCTTCTACATGCGAGCGGCTGTGTGCCTGGGACTTCAGAGGGTCCTGCTTACAGGGCGGATTTTGTGCTGAGATGGTGAACTGGGCTAAAGCAGCAGTGCAGCAGGCTGAGGCCAGGTGTTCTGGACAGCCCAGGGAGATGAGCCATCAGGATCTCCTTCTCACACCTGTCCTGAGGTCAGAAAGAATGTTAGTCCAGCACTGTCCCGGAACCAGAGAGTTACCATGAGTACAAAGGCTGGTGTACCCCTCAGGACTGAGGGACAGACTACAACTGAGTCAGGATTTGGAGACATCAGAATCCACTCAGGCGTCCTCAAACTGGACAAGCTGGTGAGGGGAGTCCTCTAGGCCTCGCTTGGCCCCACTCCCCAGGTAACTCATCCTGAGAAAATTATTAGCTTCTATATATATGGAGCTCTGGTAGCGTAGTGCCTAAGGCATTTGACTGCTAACCAGAAGGCTGGTGGTTCAAACCCACCAGCCACTCCTTGGAAGGAAGGTGTGATACTGCCTTGGAAACCCAAAGAGGGCTCACTATGAGCCGGGTCCAACTCCACAGCACATAACAACAACAACAACAAACAAATATAGATCAATATTTCTCTCACGGGTGAATGTCAGTTCAACAAACTTGGTTAACATGGGCACCACTATGACCATCAGGATGTTGTTGTTGTTGGCAGTATCACTATGGAAATAGATTGCCCCATCTTCCTTCCGAGGAGTGGCTGGTGGATTTGAACTGCCAGCCTTCTGGTTAGCAGTCAAGTGCCTTAAGCACTATGCTACCAGAGCTCCCATCAAGATGCTGGCCAGAGTAAAAAGAAAAAAAAGAAAAAACTTGTTGCCATCAAGTGAATTCTTGGCAGCCTCTGGTGTTAAAGAGTAGACCTGCTCAGTAGGGTTTTCTTGGCTGCAATCTTTATGGAAGTTGATTGCCAGGCCTTTCTTCTGCAGCATGGTTGGGTGGGTAGGTTCAACTACCAACCTTTAGGTTAGTAGTTGAGCACAAACCATTTGCACAACCCAGGGACCTAGGCAGAGTCAGGGAGCCTGAAATGAAATTGTGAGTTGGGGGAGTGTTGGGGGTTTTTAACCTACTTCAGTGCTAGCTTTCAAGTTGGTTTCAAGCTAGTTTCTATAACGGAAAATCTGGCCTGTTCTAAGAGGGGGTAGAGACCACCAAGCAAGTCAATATGAGACTCCCAGAAAACTCTCTAAGAAGCTTCACACTTGAACCGCTTGAGGTGTGAGCAGGAATGTGCAAGCTGGTGGAGAGGGAACAGATGGTGCAAATGCACAGAGGCATGGGGAGGGGGTCTGTTGAGTGGCTCCCAAACAGCCCTTTTTCCACCTTAGCCCTTCCTTGCCCTCCTTCCAGAAGAAAGAGGAACTAAGTGGGGGCGCGGGACTTTCAGAGGCTCGAGGGGCCAGGGATATGTTGGCCCGTGAGCACACTGCCTGGCAATAATTTGGGTCCCAGAGAAATATTGAGGCCTTGGCTAACCGAAGTATTCTTTCATTTTCAGTCAGTTCCCCCTTTTGACTCAGATCCGGCTCATGGAAAGCGCTTTCTGAAACCCCTGCCCCGTCATCCCAGAGTCCGCGAGCCTAGGAGAGAGGAGGTATGGGGGGTGGCGGCCGCGCGGCCCCTCCGGGAGACTCTGGCCTGCTCTCCTCCTCTCCCTTGCGCGCCCTTTAGGAGTCCGGCACGTCCAGGCTCCGGCGGCAGCTCGCGAGGGCTCCTCCAGCCAACCGCGCACCTCCTCCCCGCCCCGGAGGAGCGGCGCGCTCACTCCGACCGCGGCGGCGCCGGCGGGTGCGCTCTCTTCTCCAGGAGGAGCAAAGCAGCCCCTCCGCTGAGCGCCATCCGGGATCGATGAAAACTAGCACCCGGGCTTGGTCGACAAAGCAGGTGCTTGAGGCATCAAAATAGAAAAAGAAAAATGCTTGATAAGAATTAGGTATTTCTAAAAGAGCATCTAACTCGCTATGACGGGAAAAGTCAAAGCCTTGTGAGACTTCCTTACACGATTTTAACCGTTCACAGTTGTTTCTATTTCAAACGACCAGATGGGAGTGGGCATCGTGACCTTTCTCAGGGTTTAGTGCCCCTCATCCCTGGGGGCCCTTAGGCCTTGGTGCCTCTCCAGGGCACCCTAAGCTTTTTGAGTCCCCATTTCAAATGCCCGGGGCCACAGGGTTGCCCAGCTGCTATTTTGCAGAATTTCTCTCTCAGCAGCCCACTAAGCAGTTCTGCTTATTGCACCTACCACTGACTCACAAGGGGAGGAGGGGATTTCTGAACTATTTCAAAACTTTACCAGAATACTAGGGGTTTCATGCAGCCCTTGTTTATTTAAAAAAAACATACACACACACACACACAAAAAGCCCCAAAAGCAAAATACACTCATAAAATACCTTCAGAAGGAAGTGGGCAGAGACCTTCAGGACCACAGGGCCCATTTGCTGCTATGCTGGAGCTGGCCCTGGAACCCAGGGCTCCTTCTGCCTTCCCTACTCACTTCCCCTGGCCCACCCTATGTCTTCTGCTTTGTCCTGGGATATGGATAATAAGGGAGCTCTGGTGGTATAGTGACTAAGGCATTTGACTGCTAACCAGAAGGCTGGGGGTTCAAACCCACCGCTTCTCAGAAGGTTGGACAATCTACTTCCATAGAGCTATTGCCTCAGAAACCCAAGGAGTGGTCACTATGACTTAAATTTATGGAGAGTGTCCTCATGCCAGGTACAGTTCTAAACTGTATAAGATATGTCTAATATCCTTACTAGGAGCTCTGGTAGCATAGTGCCTAAGGCACTTGACTGCTCACCAGAAGGCTGGCGGTTCAAACCCACCAGCCATTCCTTGGAAGGAAGGTTGGGCAATCCTACTTCCATAGTGATACTGCCTCGGAAACCCAAGGAGGGGTCGCTATGAGTCAGGGCCGACTCCACGGCAAGCAACAACAACAACAATATCCTTACTACACTAGGAAGTATGAGGATTGGTGTTTTACCATTCCCATTTTATAGATGAGGAAACTGACCATGATGAAGTTAACTGATTTGAGGTGCTTGGTTTTCCAAAAGATGTCCATCATTTCCCCACTCTGCAGATCTACAAGGGGACCTCACCGAGGCGCTTCACTGGGTACCCGAAACTCCCTCTCTCAGGAACCAGGATGTTAGGGTGTAGAGGCCAGGGCGCCAGACCCTGCCCACAGTCCTCACCACCACCAACAACAACACCACTTTGGGTCCAGGAGCAACAGCAGAGATACCCAATAAAGGGACTCAGACCTGAGCTACCGGCTAGAGAGCTGGCGTGACACCGGACCTGCAGAGTTACCTAGCCCTGGGACTCCAGCAAGAAGGAAGCATATGTGACCACAAGGTGAGAAATATTGTAGGACATCCTACCCTTACAAATTAGGAAGTGCTGCCCCTGGGGAAAAGCTAGATGGTATGTGGTGTTGGCAAGAGGTGAGGGGACTGGGAAGTGGAAAGAGGTAGGCTGCCCCTTCTTCATTCCTTCTTCTCCTTACATGTCTGTTATTCCCTTCTGTACATTTTCATTGAGAATCTACTATATGCCTTACCCTCTGTGGCCTCTTACTTCCTTCTCTTCCCAATTCCTTTATTTACTATCTCTAAGATATCCTGAACCATCTGTGAAACCTTGGGCAAATCCCTTCCCTTTCTGAACCTCAGTTCCCTCTTCTGGGATAGGTGGGGACTGGGTGCTGCAGCCCTGCCAGCAGCTTGGTGTGGGCAGATGGGAACTGCCATTTCCTAACTGGAAGACAGACGTGCAGTAGATACTGCCCAGTAATTTACTGGCACGGGACTGACCCCAGGAGCACCAGTGTAGCAAATGCTACAGCAGAGGTGTATGCCGGGGCCTCTGGCACACAGAGCAGATGTGGCTATTGGTAGTGACTTGAATAAGCAGAAACCCACTAGGTAGGCATGGTGGGAAATATCAGGCAAGGAAAGGGGATTCCGGGCACAGAGGGAACAGAACATGCAAATGGTTGGTGGTAGGAAAGGGCATGGGGCATTGGGAGGCACTCATCCCAGTGTGGCTGTAGTGCCAGGCTTGTCAGGGAGGGGTGGATGCCAAGCTCACATCCATTCCCAGCACTATCCTCATCAGGCCCAACACCCAGAGAAACGCCCTCCAGGTCTCTGTCTTCAGCTGTGGCCAGCACCACTCAAGCAGGTCTGGAGGAGCCTGTTGAGGGCATGGCAGAGAGAGAGGGCAATTTGGATAGAGCAAAATCCCCTAGGACAGCCCCACGGCTGAAGATGCCAAGGCACAGATGGGCAGCTGGAAAGAAGTAAGGGGGCTAGACAACAATCTGTCCACATCAGGGTTTCTGAGGTAGGCCTGGGTGGTGCTCCAGATGTAGAGAAGGAAGCTTTGTGGACTTAGAGAACTCTCTAGTGAGTTATAGTTGAGTATGCACATGTGAAGGAGTCCCTGTGTGGCTCAAATGGTAAGTGCTTAGTTTGTAGTTCAAACCTACCTAAAGGCACTTTGGAAGAAAGTCCTGGCAATCTGCTTGTGAAAGGTCAAGCCTTGAAAACCCTGTGGAGTGCACTTCTACTCTGCACACATGGGTCCCCGTGAGTTGGAGTCACATGACTCTGTGTTCTTGTGTGTGAGCTGTGGGTTCCTCTGCATGCAGGATGCATGAGCAAATACACAGGTATGTGTACACAGGTTTGCACACATGCAGAAAGGATGTACTCCACATGTGGAGAGACTGCAAGCTCTGGGTTGGTGGAGTGGGAAGGAAGGAGGGTCTGAGGTGGAGATAGGACCACTTAGACCTGGATTTACCTTGAGTTCTCCCTGCCATGTGCTGTTTCAAATAAACATTGGTGGGCTGTCACGAAAGGATGGCAGGCTTTGCCCCTGCACTCACAAAGTAGATAATGCCATGATGACTAAAGCTGATGCCTGGTCTTGAGACATAGGACTTGAGAGAGGATTGTAGGAAGAGTACTTGAAGCTAACAGACCCCAGACAATTCCAAGCCTAAAAGCTTTAGCTGGGATATTAGCAAGGCCCCATGATGAACTCACTGGGGAATTAAAGCAGCTCCCTTCCCCCTGGAAGTCAGGGCTCCCAGGTTAGGGATGAGTGACTTGCCTCCCCTATAATTCCTCTCTGCATCCTGGCCAGACCCTGAAACTCTGCTGCAGACCTCAGAACCTTAAAGCTACTACCTGGAAAACCTATCATATGGGGAGTCTCAGAGCACAGTCCTAGGTCACCAAGACCAGGGCCTGGAGGCACATCAGCCTGGATTTCCCTTAGGTGAACACAGGACAGGGCTGCATAGAGGGGCCAGCCAGCATGGCTAGGGCTTGGTCCCCTGGCATAGGAAAGATGCTTATTGTGGTAAAAGATAGTTGGGTCTATGGGGATTTTATTGAAATATTTTATTTATTTCTGCCACAGGCTGAGAAACACATAGAATCTGCCCCATCAGCATTCTAATACCATTAACAAAGGAGGGTGCTTTCACATAAGACCGCCACCATCACAGAATCACCATTTGTTGAAGCTCTATTTTATTTCTGAAGGTCCCAGGGTGGCATAAGCTGTTAGTTATCAGCTGCTAACCTGATATCAGCTGCTAACCTGAATGTTGGTGGTTTGAACCCACCCGGGGTGCCACAGAAGAAAGGCCTGGCAATCTGCTTCCATAAAGGTGATAGCCAAGAACTGCTCCTAGTGGAGCAGTTCTACTCTGTAGCACATGGGGCCACATGAGTCAGAACTGACTCAAAAGCAATAGCTTTGGTTTTGGGTTTATGTTCACAGTAATCTTGCAAGGTAGGTATTACTAGTCCTGTTTTACACATGGGAAACTTTAGGATTGGAGAGATTGGGTAACTCATCTAAGGTCACACAACCTGTAAGTGATAGAGCCAGGATTAGAAAGCAATCCACCAGAGCCAAGAGGTTTCCATTCCAGGGGACTGGATGAGAATGCTGTCTCCGAGGAGGTTTTGAACCTCAGGCCTCAGTATGCCCTTTGGTAAAATGGGGATTTTAATGAAAAGAGCCTAATCCATAACAAGAGTTAATGTATGTAAGAAGCTTAGAGCAGAGCCTGGCCTGCCTCCAGCATTCTGTCACCGAGAGGCTGCATTATTCTCTACTGCCCTGAGGACTGGTATGGGAGGCTGGTGGGAAGTCTCTGGGTCCCAGAGGCTTATGTGCAAAGGGTCCAGGTTAGGGTCACAGACAGTGAGATGATCTGGGACTCCATTCATGTTGTTGGCTCTGAAGGGATTCCCAGGAAGCAGGCTCTAGGAACTGACGACCAACTTCTTGGTCAGCCCTCCCTTCCCAGTTCTTCACAATCCAGCCCTCAGGACGGCAAAAGCCCGGCTGGCATTCAGAGGCTTATCTACGGGAAAGAGTGTCTATGGCAAGCACTGAAATTGGGCCCCTGCAGGGCCTTGGAGAAGGTAACAAGAAGCATCCAAAAACAATCTCTAAATTGTGCCTACACAACCCCACCACCACCAAATTCAAAGATAAATAGAGGTTGATAGCAGCACTGGATCAGCAGGAAAGCCTTCCACCTTGTCTGGCTACCCCAATTAGACGCCTTTCATATTTGTCTAGCCTGGCGCCCATCTCCTGCCCCAGTGGACTAGAGCCCAGGGGCAAGTGGTCCCCTGTGTCCCAGCCCTTGGCTGTACCTCCCTGTCTACCATGCTTGAGGAAGGATGTTGGGCCACACCAGGTTAATAGAAACTGCTCAGTGGCGTCCCCCTTGAAGTGGCCCC